ACAACCGCATATGCCACTATCACTTTCCTACGGCACGTCTTCAGCGAACGTGACCTACTGGATGCTCTGGTTTCGGAAAATGGGTCCCAATTAACCCCACCGACCTTTGAGGATTTCTGCCGCCAACACCTCATCCAACATCTTCGTCCTCCGTCCAAACATCCTCGATTTATAGGTCAAGGAAACGATTTGTCAACGCATTCAAGCGAGCCCTCTTGAAAACTCGTGGAGAATGGACTACTGATGAGATAATCCATGTGCACCTGTTTTCTTACACGACCACCCCTAACCCGGTGTCTCCTGCTGGTGTCTCTTCTGCCAAAGCCTTTATGGGTCGGAACCTACGAACAAAGTTTCATGTACTGTTTCCTACTAAAGTGCCCTCCTCGGAGTCACTTCTACCTGTCTCTAGCGGCAAGATTCCCATCGGAACACCCATCTTCTTTCGCGAATATCGAGTTAGCTTCCTAGACTGGATTGAGAAAAAGAATCGGGCAAGCCTTCGCTTAGTTTTACTAACAATTACCAAACGCGGGCGGTAATACAACAGTACTCAAAAATTTGCAAACTTCCACCAAAGCTAATGACCTTTAGTGCAGTTACTCATTTCCTAAGGACAAGGCCAGAACCGCAGACACACAGACCTGCTTACGCTCTCAGGTTAAAGCTCAAGTTAGCAGATGGGTTTTTTTCTATCCAATTACAGTTTCATGTGCTTCGGCTCCGCCAAGCTTCCTAGACACATAGTCTTTCCAAATAATCAACCTTTAGAATGATCCAAGTTGCACGAACGAGCTAGTATTATAACGTTATTCAGATCGCATTTCTGCTAAGGCTGCACAGATATCTGGTTTTATATAAAATAATTTATTCCATCCAAAAATAAAGTTAAATGTTTACCGCATGCGTGTTCTTTCCATCCTAGAATGTTGCAGTTCCCACTTTGGGTCGATGTATTCCTCTGACCGCAATAAGACTGAAAAAGTTCGGAGAAGTATTACTCGGAGACTATTTTCTCTTTCTCGATTTAATTTCTCTTATAGTGAGAGATGAGACTTAGAAGACATAAAACCTGTCTCTGCTTCCTGCTTCGTGCTAATTCTAGCCATAATTTCTGATGAACTGACACTCTCATTCCAGGAGACTGACCTGATGCCACACGTGGTTCATAAATTATTACTTCCCACCCCTTTTCTCGAGATCCAACAGTTTTCGTTTTTTGCCTCTAAATATGCTTTCCTTCATAATGATCTTCCATTTGAAATTAGATCTTTGTCCGCATTAGCAGTTGTTTTTTCCTTTGACTTCTCCGACTGTATTCAGCAGTCACGC